ACTGATGGGATTTGGAAGGTGAGGGACAGTAAGCATCAGGGTGATGAGGCCAGGAGAGATTATTTTTTAAGTTTTTTTTTTAAGATTTTATTTATTTATTTGACAGAGACAGCGAGAGAGGGAACAGAAACAGGGGCAGTGGGAGAGGGAGAAGCAGATGTCCTGCGGAGCAGGGAGCCCGATATGGGCTCGATCCCAGGACCCTGGGATCATGACCTGAGCCGAAGGCAGAAGCTTAACGACTGAGCCACCCAGGCGTCCCCTTTTTTTAAGATTTTATTTTTTTAAGTAATCACTACCCCCAACATGGGGCTCGAACTCACAACCCTGAGATCCAGAGTGACATGTTCTACCCACAGGGTGCCCTGATAAGAAACGTTCCTGAGAGAGGGACACTGAGGGAGGCGGGGGGGCAGGGTGGGCAGGGCGGCTGGGCTGGGGGCTTGGGGGGCTGCCAGCCAACACGCGAGGGGCTTGCGCGCTCGTCCCAGGGTGTGCCGGGCTGAGCCGGGGGGACAGCGGGCTGTGGCGGGAGGATTGCGGTTCCTGCTGTGGCCCGTCACCCTCTGTGGCCCCGTGGCCTGTGCCAGCCGCCGCAGGCTTGAATGTCCCACGGCACATGACGGGAGGTCCCGGCGCTGTCTTGCAACCCCTGTTCCTCTCCGCGCCACTCCTGGTTCTCCCCATGGTTGCACGCGCTTCCCCTCCTTCAGCTCTTACCGTTGCCTTCTCCTGCCTGGGGGCAGGGGCTTCTGCCTGTTTGTTTCTAGGTAGCTCAACTGTGACACTTCTGGGGTCCAGGGTATCCCGTGGGGTCATGGCCTTGTTTCCTACCGAGCGAACGCGGAGCCCCAGGCCCCTCGCTCAGACCGCCGGGAGGTCAGGCAGCCGGGCCGCGTGGCCGCCCCTCTACCTGGCAAGCGCCACCTTCAGAGACAACCCCCGCTGGGATGCCTGGGGCGCTTGGTCGGTGAAGTGTGAAGCGTCTGCCTTCCACTCAGGTCATGATCTTGGGATCCTGGGATCGAGCTTCATAGCTCCCTGCTCGCTAGGGAGTCTGCTTCTCCCTCTCCCTCTGTGAACTCTCTTTCAAATAAATAAAAACTTAAAAAAAAAAAATGCCCTCGTGCATCCTGCTCATCCCCAGGGCACTCTATCCAACACCTTGTGCAGTGGCTTATGTCGGGGTCCCTTGGGGTCCCTCCCTGGCCACTCCTGAGCCTTTAGATGGCCCAATGCTGCAGCTCACTCGTCTACCGGGGACTCCTCCCTCGAGCAGGGAGGGAAGCTGGTGCCCGCCTCCCCTCCCAGGAGTCCCATGGATATGCAAAGTCCCCATCAAGAAGCAAATGGCTTGAGGCTTCCGCAAATACCAGCAGATCACCCCCCATCCCCAACCAGGGGACAAAAGAGGTGCCTAAGGGCCCAGGAGAGTGCCACCGGGATGTGCAGGGCCTCCGGCGGCCGCTGGCGCTGTGGTAGGCACACGCCCAGAGGACGCATCAAAAGGCAGCAGCCTCAGTCTGCCCAGCAGTCCACGTGCTGCCAGGACTGTACCACTGACTGGGCCCCCGTGTCGTCTGGGCCAAAGGGAAGGTGACAGCAAACGCTTGGAGGCATGGGACACCCTGTGCTGGAGTGGACCTGACTGGGAGCACAGGAGACCGATGTCCGGGGACCAGAATCCAGGCTCAAAGGGAAGCACTTCTCTTGGGGCCTCTGGCCACACGGGGGTCCTGGGGGCTGCCTGGCTGAGCGCAGGATGCTTGGGTCTTCCCCCCCGGTTCTTGGGCTGATCCCCGGAGCCCGTCACATCCCCTGGTTCGTACTGCATCGGTTGTGGGCAGAGGCGACCGCGAGGTGGCACTGCTAACTCGTCCATCACCTCCCAAGGAGCCTGAGGCTGGGGTCCGCCCGCACAGCATCCCGGGTCCGCGGTGGTCCACGGGGGTCATCGAGGAGACGGGCACCGGGCAGAGTCACCCCAGGCCAACAACCCTCTGAGTCACCCAAGGCTGAAAAGAAGTTGGGGAGATGAGAGGGTATACTCGGGGATGGCGGGGGATCCCTATGCCGAGGATGTGGCAGTGTCGGCTTCGGGCGGTGACCCCACAGGCGCCCCCAGCAGCACAGGGTCCCTGGGGCCTCCTTGCCGAGGGCAGGAGGATTTCAGGGTTCTCCCCTTTGCATCGGGTGCCAACGCCCAAGCCGATCGCACTCCCTGATTGGTGCCGAGTTGGTTGGGTGTTGGAGACCACGGTGGCCGCGAGGTGGCGGCCCCGACTCGCACATGTGGGTGTCCCGGCCGAGGCTGGGGTCCGCCCGCAATACGACCCGGGTCCGCACAGGCCTGATTCCGCAGTGGTCCATGAGGGTCATCGGGGAGGTGGGGTGCTCGTCTGAGCCCCCCAGGCAGGAGATCAGGGCACACCCGCAGCCCCTCAGACACAGGTCTGCTGGAAGCCATCAGCGCCGTAGACTGGGACTCATGTCACACCTCCCAGGCAGGACGAGGACAGCACCTGCCGCCAGACCCGGACCTGCGCACGTCAGACCCAGCACACCTACACCCCCATACACAGCCCCCAGACTCAGCTTTTTATGGAGCCGGCATCTGCCACCGAGGGAGCAGCAGAGCCCCGCAGGCCCCAGGCCCCCAGGCACTAACATCTCCATTCAGTTCGGGCGTTCAGATGCTAATGGCCCGGCGGGTGCTGCTCCTGGTCCTGCCGTGGCTGGTCCTGCCGGTGAAGGTCCGGCCAGTCTCCCGAGCACCTTGACGCAGCCACCGATGTGGGGTGTAGGAGACACCCCAGCATCGTAGGGGATCATTAAAAAGTGGGATCCTATGTGGCAAGCATGCTCTGTGACAAAGGGTCCAGGTCCCCACGTCGAGCTGTGGGGTCGTGGCGGGGCTGTGGAGCCGCGTGTCCTGGCTGGAGCGCGCTGTCTGCCCTCGAGCCCACGCGCTATAAGAGTGGACTCCCCACCGCACCCTAAGATCCTGGTGCCACCTTTCAAGAGAGCAGATCCTTGGGAATCTAGGGGCCCCATGTCCTGGGGTGACAGGGAGCCCAAATGCTAGAGCGAAACCGACCGCATGAGACCTGAGGCAGCGTGGGGTCCTGGGGCCCGAACGCGGGGGCGTTGTGGGTCTCTCCTGATGGGGGTGCCGCCCCGAAGCGGGTTGCTCTCTGCGTGGCCAGTTGGGAGTGTTGGAGACAGAGGTGGCCGCGAGGTGGCGGCACCGACTCGCACATCACAGCCCCGAGTGAGGCTGGGGTCCGCCCGCACGGCGGCCCGGGTCCGCTCCAGCCTGATACCGCAGCCGCAGCGGTTCCCGAGGGCCATCGCGAAGACGGGGCGCTCCACCGAGCCACTCCACCCGAGTCGCCCCCACCCACGTGGTTGAATTCGGGGAGACTAGAGGGACTACTCGGGAGCAGTGAGGGACCCCTGTGCCGAGATACCGCGGTGTCGGCCACAGAGGAAGAACCTCCCCACAGGTCCCAGGCACAGGGTCCCCGGTGCTGCCTTGCCAAGCGCAGGAGGATTTCGGGGCCTCTCGCTGTGACTCGAGCCCAGCCCCGGGTCCCACCGTGCGTCCCCAAATGGCGCCCAGTCGGTCGTGCTGTGCCCCCTGCAGTGGCCGCGAGGTGGCAGTACGGACCGCCCGGAGGCTGCCGAGGCCAGGGTCTGCGGACGGCGAACCGTGGTGGTCCGCACCACCCCGACTTAGGAGTCTGCCGATAGCAAAGTCTGGGTGTTTTGCACAGGAAATCTGGGGGTTCACCGTGAGAAAGCCTGGGATGTCAGGGGTGGTGGGCGGCACGCAGCACTCTGCGGTGGTGTCCAAGGAGCAGAGAGTCTGCCCGCGGACCTCGGGGGATTCCAGCTCCCCTGTCTACACGGACTCTGCCCACGGTGCCAAAATCCTGGACTTGGTGGGCGAACCCTGGGGACCGTGCGGGTTTTTTCTGCGGGGACCTGGGGGATCTGACACTCCCCAGAAAGGCCGAGGTGGTCCCCCCAGGGGCGGACTGGCCAAGGGTCGGGCTTGGGTATCTTGACGCTCTCGAGGCTTTGTTCAGTTCCCGAGCCGGCAGTGCCCCAGGGAGGCGGCTGTGCGGGACGCTTGTCACCAGACCGTGCCTGTGAGCCCTGGAACCTGGCGTGTGCGCCTTGTGCGGGTGACGGGAACACAGAGGTCAGGGGACCTGGAGCACCCCACCCGGCAGGACGCCTGTCCTGTGGCAGCCGCTCTCCCCCCAACACAGCCATAGTCAACCGGAGGGTGTTTGAGCCGAGATCCCCACACACCCTGACCACTGAGACCCCAGGGAGCTTCCCGGGGCCCAAACTGAGCCCTCATTCCCCACCCTCACCCCCTGGGACTGCTCCCCGTGGACTCCCGGGGCCCTAGGGGGCATGTGGGGTCTCAGCCATGGTGGGGGCAGAGGGGTCTCTGGGTCCTGCGCAAGCCCCCGAGCCAGCGTCCAGACCCCCTCTGGGAGCAGAGTGCGTTGGCCGCAGGCAGGCTGGACGGTCCGCCCCGAGGGGACCCGGCTGCTCTGACTTGAGGGGAGGGGAACGTTTGGGGACAATGCCAGGCCCTGTCTACGGGATGCCAGTGCAGGGGTGTGGAGAATGCCGTCTTTGGAGAATTCTGGGATGGGTGAGGAACGTGCGCTGGACCGGTCTGGGGCGGAGGTGGGCCTTGCGGTGGCCCCGAACACGGTCCCCACTCTGATTGGCTGGCAGGGCAGGGGCGGGAATTGGGGGCGGGGCCACCCCAGTTAGAAAAAGCCCGGGCTAGGGCCGGAGAGCAGGGTGTGGGAGGGGGTGGTGGGTGGGGTGGGATGGGGGGCTTCGGGGGAAACTGGGGAAGCGGGGGTGCGGAGGGGTAACCAGGGAAGCGGGGGCACCGGGGGCAACCAGGGGAAGATGGGGACAGGGTGTGGGGAGCTTGAGTGGGCCAAGGATCACCTTGGAAATCTGGAGTCTGGCAGGAGTGGCCGAGGGTTGAGGGACCGGCTTGGGCAGGGCTGGTGGGCACCTGGTGGGAGTGTGGCATGGGGTCCCAGGTGTCTTGCGGTCTGGGTGACATCGGCATGGCATGCGGTGGGCCCAAGCTGGGCACGTAGAGGGCAGAGGGGGGAGCCAGACATTCATCCCGGTCAGTTTTGGTTTTAGGTCGTGGCGGCTGGTGGACGAGGGGAGCTGGCGAGGGGTTCGCCCGGGACCTGGGGCAGTTGGGCTGTAGCTGGCAGCTGTGGGTAAGTGAGGCAGCGGCCTGTCGGCCTGGCGAGTCCCTCCCTCCCCGAGCCTTGCTTTGCCGGCCTTCCGCAAGTGGGAGGCGGCAGGGAGCAAGGAGCGGTGAGGGGACGCGGCTGGCCTCCCGGCGGGTCGGCAGGACGAAGGAGGGCGGTCAAGACAGGTGACATCGTCTCAGGGGGAGCTGAGACTGCGCAGGCTGGTGGGGGCCGTGTGCCCTTCCCAGGTAGAGCGAGCATTTCAAGAGCGCGGGCGGGAGATGAGGCTGGGCTGCCAGCGAGGGAGGGACAGGTGGCCGAGGGGGTCCAGCTTGCGGGGGCCCAGGCCCCGGTCGGACAGGATGAAGTGGGGACTCAGGACACAGCAGGGTCCCCAGCCGTCACTACATCTCACCCACTGAAATTCATTTAGGAGAAGGCATAGGAGCGGCTCCAGCACGGGCCTCCCAAGGCCCATGTCGGAGCCTCGAGGGCAGGAGAGCGGGAAAGAAGGAGTGGTGCGCGGGGAGACCCGCAGAGGGACGTCACCCGGAGGGAGCGGCGGCTGCAGGTTTGGGCTCCAAGGACATTTCTGCAGCAAGGAGGCTGCTGTGGGCCCGGCCTGCAGGCGACCGTTCCACGTGGCACTGTGACCCAGGTGCTGAGTGGAGAGGTGACACTTCATGCCTCCCTGCACAGCCCCTGGGTGTGGTATGACAGACAGACAGCATCCAGGGGAGTCAAGGGCACTGGCGAGGTCGGACTAGGTGAGGAGGTTGGGGTGGAGTGAGTGCGAGCTCTGGTGGGGGGTCCGGGCGCAGGCAGGGGGAAGAGCGGGAACCTGGCGGCAAGCCGGCGGGGGCACTGGCCTCCAGAGCCCGAGGCCAAGGCGGGCCTCTGCGGGCAACGATGGAGCAGGGATCGGTGCCTCCCGGCTCAGCCTGGAGACGAGGGTGAGTGCCCAGCCCACTGGCATGCCCGACGTCCCCTGCCCCAGCCTCTGTGCCCACTCACCGCCTTGTTCACGTGCCTACGGCCAGGTCTCCAGGACGGGTGACGTGCCCTCCAGCCACCGAAGGCCGGCGCGAGGCTGCGCTCGGAGGGACATGACATGGTCTGGTGTGACGGTGAGGATGGACGTGATGCCGTCCGGCCTTCCTGGTAAGCACAGGGGTAAGACACGGCCCCTCCAGGCCAGCCGTCCCGCATAGCGTCCCTCACGAGCACTCTTTTCCCACAGAACATTCTAGGCTGGCCCGCGGGTGTCAGAACACCTATAGGTTTCACTCCTTGGCCTTCCCGGAGGAGTCCACACACTGCTGCTCTCTGGACCTCTAGAACCCTCACATCGACAAGGTGAGGAGGGGCCTGGCGGCCGCGGGGAGCAGGCCACGGGCGCAGGGGTTGGGCGCTGACTCTCTCCCGCCCTGCAGAGATGGTGCTACCCAGCTCACGCCTGGGCCTTGGAACCGGGACTTCTTCAAGTCCTTCTAGCTCTGACTCAAGAACATGCTGCATTCTGGAACCACTTCACGACCCGACTCAGGAATCGGCTCCGGAAGGTGAGCGCGGGCCCCTGTTCCAGAAGCTTCCCCGGCGGCCCTGCGTGGCCACCACACAGTTGCTTGTCGCTCCGTCTCTACAGGTGAAGCTCAAGGAGCGAGAGCAGCCTGACAGCACCACCGTCAGCACGAGCCCCGCGGCGATCGTCACCCCCGCGTGGCAGCGTCATCTCCGCGGCCACCCTGCCGTGGCCAGGCCACCACCAGCCGCCACGCCCAACGCCCCTCACCCGCCTTCTCTTCTTCCTTTCCTCTGTTCTCTCATTTCCTTTCTTTGCTTTCCTTTGTGCCCGGGACGCGCAAAGCCGCCATGACTCTGTTTCCCTGCCCCTTCCCTACTCAATTTGCACTAAGTCGTTTGCACTGGTCTGGAGTCATGGAACCGGCCCGAGTCCCCGAGTGAGTGTGCGAGCCGACTGCTGCGTGTGCCTGGCCTCTGCGGCCTGCCCTGCACCCTGCGCCCTCCTGCCATCCACCTTGGGGGGCTGCCTGGGTGCAGCCGTGTGTGGGAGGCCCCAACCCCCCTCGCCTGGTCTGGAAGCTCCTGGCACCGAGCAGACCTCATGCAGCTCCGCTGTAGAGCCCCTCGCCTGTGCCCCTCCCCACCGGGGCTTCGCCAGAAGCCTTGGCCTCATCAATAAATACAGTTACAGCAATTTGTCTCAGGGACTCTGGAATCCGAGCTGTTTGCCTGGGGGGTGGGGGGCGCCTTGGGCTGGGGGAGGTGGGCACGGGGGGGGGGGGGGGCACAAGGGGGGGGACATGAAAAAGGCACATGGGGAACGAAGAATGGGAAGGGCGGAAGGTGGGGAGGGGCACGGGGACAGAGCGGGAGTCACAGGGCAGGGAGGGGCACAGGGATGAGGTGAGGGGAGGCACACAGAGGGGGAGGGGACATGGTGAGTGCACATGGGCTGAGAAGTCGTTATGGCCTATGGCCGAGGAGGATATCATGGGGGGGGGGGGGGAGGGAGGGCGTATGACGGGGGGGGGGGTGGGGGGGGGGGGGGGAGAGGGGGGGGGCGAGGGGGGGGGGCCCAGGGAGGGGTCTGTGGGGCCAGGGCCCCTGCAGGGAAGGGAGGGGGTGGGGGTGGCTGAGGGAGTTCTCAGCAATGGGAGAGAAGCCAGACAACACCAAGGCTCCCTCAGCTTGGTCCTGCCCCTCTAACTGGCTTAGGGACGACACCCCTGGGCTTCCCTGCACCCCGGGCCCTAGACCCCTAGTCTAGGGGATTCGTTTGCAGAATCACCCCAGGGGAGTGGGCTTGCCACGTGAGAGGGCCCTGCAGCCCAAGCCTGGAGGGCTGGAGGCTGTTGTCTGGAGGGGCGGGCAGGACTGAAGCCCCAGAGAAGGGCAGTGGGGGAGGGGACACGTCCTGCTAGGGTCTGGCCTTGGCTTGCTAGTGAAGCCCCAGCAGCTTGGGGTTGGAGTACCTTTCTGGGATAGCAGCCAGTCGGGGACCCCAAGCTCATAACCCTGTGGCTCTGGGCTTGTAGATGCTGGGAGCGTGCGGGAGCAGCTTGTGGAAATGAGGCTGGGGTCCATGGCCCCTTCCCCAGCCAGCTGAGGAAGACCAGATGGCAAAGGCCTGAGAACCCGCCTCCATGAGGAGGTCTTCCCTGGGCCCCTGACTCTGTGCCCATGGTGCCGCCCCCACACGCTCCCCTCCAGCCTCCCACTGTCCTTGCATGTCTGGGACCCCCACTCTTCCCACCAGACCCGTCTTGGGGACCAAGAGCAGGGCTTCCCTGGCCTTCTGGTACGCCACATTAGGCGGGTGGATGCTAGGGAGCAAGGCGGCAGGCGGGGCCTTGTGTGGGGCCCTCCGGTCTCCCCAGCCCCTCCGCCAGCCCCCGAGGCACCCTGGGCCATGGGCAGTGCTCAGGGACGTGCGGCTGTGGTGGTCTCCAGGCCCCCTGGCCCGTGAGATGAAGGAACACATCCCTTAGGTATCGAGTGCGGTCTGTAAACGGCCATTAGTATAAACAGCCCTTTCTGCTGGAGCTCTGCGCACCCGGGGCCAGCTTCCCGGGTGGTGAGGGACAGTGGTGTGACCAGCGGCAGTGGCCCCAGGGTTGGGAGAAGGCAGGGGGATGCTCTGGGGAAACATGGGAATCGTGGGGAGCCATCCTTTGAGCCCCCAAAGGCGGTGGGGCCAAGGCCTGGGTACTGTGGTCTTCTGTCACCTGGCGGTGAGTCACAGCCACACTTGCACCCTGACCTGGGCCCCCAGGGCTGGGAACCTAGTGCATCTGGTCTGGAATGCAGGAGGGTGAGGTCGCCCCTTTCCACACCCACCTGGGGGAGAAGGCTGGGGGCCCCTAGTGCCTGGGCCTGCCTCTGTCCCCTCTGGGCTGCCCACATCCGTGCCCCTTGACCCCTCTGAATGCACAGAGGGGCCCACCTCGGGCCTGGCCCCCACCCACTTGCTCTGCTCTGGAGCAGGCTCTGGGGCCACGTGCAGGGAGGGCCCTGGGGCCAGGGAGTGCAGGGGAGGTGAGGGGTGGCCTGTCCTCTGTCCCTGTGGGCTGGACCTAAGCAGCTGGGGCAGGAGCCACAGGCCAAAGCTCTGCAAACAGGCCTTGAGCCCCCGCCTCGCCGGGGGGGGGGGGGGGGGGGGGGGGGGG